TTTAACTTTTTTTAAAAAAAAAATTGGATTTAACTAACCTTTTTATTGTTTTAGTGTTTATTTTACACTATTCAAATATTCAAAAAAAATATGTACATTGGTAAGGGGAAAACGATACAAATAAAGAAAAAAAAAAAAATTAATTGTTGGTTTTGAATTTTGTTTTTTTTGGTCATTATTATTATTTTTTATTAGTAATTAGNATTTTATTATGAATTTTTGCGAGTGATAGTTCTTTCAATTGATCTTTATTTGACTTTATTTTTTCTACAAAAACTTATCTTTTATTTTTATTCGAGTATTGATTATAGTCTTTATTATGTGCCAATTGTTTTTTATTTTTTTAATATATTTATCTCTTAAATTTTGGTTTAATAGTTTAACTATGTTAATATTTTAGTGATAATGTTTAGAACATCGTTTATTGAATAAATTTACACTAATGCTATTGAGACATAATTGAAGGACATAATTTGAGAACATAATTAGTTGTCATCAATGAAATGATAATGAAATGTATTTAATGATGGGTCCCATTATAACATTAATAAATTTATTATCATATCATTGGTGACAACTCATTATGTCCTCAAATTATGTCAATAAATTTTGTTCCAATAACATTGCTCATAAATTTTATTGATTGTTAGTAAATAATTTATATTTTTTAATTATACAAATGACAATTAGCTTCGATTTTTTATAATGGTGATAATTAGTTATTTTTTTAAACAAATATAATATACATTATTTTTTTGGCTTTTTTATGTTAAATGGACTTCATGTATCAATATATGATATAAAAAATATAAATATTTTATATAGTGTGATTGGTTAAGAGGAAAAAAATTAGAATGTATAATTAAAATGTCCACCCTAAATAAAATTTTCGACTCATGACTATGTTACTGAATCTATAATTTGTTAGAAATAATCCATATTATTAGAGTTTTAATGGATATTAAATGTATTTTGTTATTATTAGATATATATAATCGTTCAAGAGATGTGAAAGTGTATTTAAAACATGTAAGAGATAATAAAAAAAGAATAAGATAGAANGTTCAAGAGATGTGAGAGTGTATTTAAAACATGTAAGAGATAATAGAAAAAGAATAAGATAGAGAGAGTTGTGTCAGTTAATATGAGATAAAGAGAGAGAGTTAGACGAGAGATAAGAGTTTTGAAAAAATTTCGTATGAGAGCTGTTATATTAATAATCGTCAAGTGATCTGAGTCGTGGATATTTTTAATTATTTTATTATATATAGATAGAATTACTTTGTACATTTATATATTTAATTTAATATTAATACTAATATTGAACGACTGACAAGTGACAACGTAATCGTTATTTACTCCGTTCCGAGAGCAATCGACAGCTTTAGTATCAGATATCAGTCTTCTCCTCCGTACAAAATCGACGAAGATTTTGAAAAAACCGAATTCATATCAGCAGTTCCGACACCACAAATCGCCGGAAAATTTTGGTCCGGCGGAGACCTGTCATTGAGAGTCTCGTTCGTTTGACAAATTCAGGCACTTGCTTCTTGGTCTTCTTCAACTTCTGATTTTTTTCGTTCTAGGGTTTAGGGTTTGGGAGTTTTCTTATTGTTTCGGGGTTTTAGAACTTGATTTGTGATTTTCCTAGTTAATTGATCAAGATTTTGAAGAGGCCAATTCATATTAGCAGTTCCGGCACCACAAAATCGCCGGCGGAGACCTGGCCTTGACTCTGAGTCTCGTTCGTTGGACAAATTCAGGTACTTGCTCTTGTTCTTCTTCAATTTCTGCTTTTTCGTTCTAGGGTTTAGGGTTTTGTGAGTTTTCTTCTTGTTTCGGGTTTTTAGTACTTGATTTATGATTTTTCCTGGTTAGTTTCAGTAGGGTTGCTTTGTTTTGTCTAATTTTGTGTTTTATTCATTGGGTTTTGAAGAAACTGCCAATGGAAATCCTTGTGGGATTGACCAAAGTACCATTATTTAGTTTAGAAGATTTTTTGCTTCAAAAATTATCTAGTTGCATGGCGTTTCTTGCAGTTTGCACGGTATATATATCATAATCAAGCCATATCTATTCCTAATTGTAGTTCTTCGGTTTGGTTTTCATTTTCATAAAAAATTCNCGTTCGTTGGACAAATTCAGGTACTTGCTCTTGTTCTTCTTCAATTTCTGCTTTTTCGTTCTAGGGTTTAGGGTTTTGTGAGTTTTCTTCTTGTTTCGGGTTTTTAGTACTTGATTTATGATTTTTCCTGGTTAGTTTCAGTAGGGTTGCTTTGTTTTGTCTAATTTTGTGTTTTATTCATTGGGTTTTGAAGAAACTGCCAATGGAAATCCTTGTGGGATTGACCAAAGTACCATTATTTAGTTTAGAAGATTTTTTGCTTCAAAAATAATCTAGTTGCATGGCGTTTCTTGCAGTTTGCACGGTATATATATCATAATCAAGCCATATCTATTCCTAATTGTAGTTTTTCGGTTTGGTTTTCATTTTCATAAAAAATTCCCCCCTCCCCCGCGGTGGTATTGGAGAATGTAATGGCATGGCAAGGAGAGAGAGAGACAGATTATAATGTATGTCTTGTCGGCCTTGAAATTGGCAGTACCTGTAAATAGACCTAGTCAGGTATTGAATCTTTGTGGGCGCAGATCAAAGTAAATCTTTGCGGGTGTGCTCATTTATTAGGTAAATTATATACTCGTTATTGGATAGTGTTTTGCTTGTTCTTTTTGGGGTAGATTCCATTTGAAAAACAATTTATGCATATTAATCAGGCATGCCTTTTCATTTATTGAAAAAAAGAGAAATATTAGCCACACCCTTGTGGATTTATAAATGCAAGGGTCTTTTGCATCTTATGAAATGACACTGACATTGATTATCAATGTCTATCAAGCGTAACAAAACAACTTAAATTACTTGGGTAACCTTTGACTTTATTATATATTTTAATAAGATGCAACGCGTCGTCCCAACCCCGATTTGCAACCATCACCCCATGTACTCTTTCTCTCTCTCTTCCCCCCCCCTCCCCAAAAAAAAAAAAAAAAATTAAAAAAGATAGATGCATCCATGTCACCCCTAAGCATCACATCCAACCATCAACCACATTCATGCGGGCAAGATGCACTACTACCACCACTGTNCCCCCCCCCCCCCCCCCCAAAAAAAAAAAAAAAAAATTAAAAAAGATAGATGCATCCATGTCACCCCTAAGCATCACATCCAACCATCAACCACATTCATGCGGGCAAGATGCACTACTACCACCACTGTTGGCATTACACTGAAAATTCAAAATCAACATCCATAAGCAAATCAAAATAAATATCAATACTGAAAATTGAAAAATGGAGAAAAAAAGGTGTGTGAGTGATATCACCTAAAGCAATTTAGGAATAGAAGTTGTTGTGGTAGTCAGAGGATCAAAGAGATAAATAAGAACCAAATCAATTTTATTATTGGTGACCCGAGACTTTAGGTTAGGTGGATTGGGTTAATGGTGTGTGCAATGGTGATGGGTGGTGTTATTGATTGTTAGCGGCGGGGATGAATGGATCACATTGGAAATGAGATGAAGTAGTGGGTGAATCTAACATGTTTGGTTATAGGTTATAGGTTGTCTAAAGGCATCTCTGTTGCTTTCTTGTATCTTGAATCAAATGTGAATTTGAGTAAAAAAGACTAAAAATAAGTTATAGCCCGTCACTCAAAGTTTCAAACTCATTCCAAATAAGGGGAGACTCAATCTTTTGCTTAAATCTCCAACTATTATATTTCTCTTGTTTTTATGTATCCATTTGTTATATTTTACCATTCTCTATTTATCTTTACTCTACTTTTTTCTTTCTTATTTATAAAATCTCTATTTAAACTTATTGATAAGTTAAAAAAATGTGTTTGTTGAAACTTAGATCTATAGTGAATAATTTGTCATTGTTAGATTGGATTTCATTTATTAAAATCTTAGTAATCAAGGATTTTGCATTTTCTGAACTTTGAAGAAGAATAAAAGAAAACAAAGGGATTGAAAAAAAAGAAAGATATGTGCTTATTTATTTGAAATTTTGACTAAAATTAATTTGGGGAAAGAATTAAATGTGATGAAAGGTAAAGAGATTTGAAAGTGAAGGGATAATTAAAACGAAAAGAGATTTTAGATGGGAAAGAAGTAGAGAAAAGTAAGGAGGAAATAAAGTTCTGGATAAAAANTTGACTAAAATTAATTTGGGGAAAGAATTAAATGTGATGAAAGGTAAAGAGATTTGATAGTGAAGGGATAATTAAAACGAAAATAGATTTTAGATGGGAAAGAAGTAGAGAAAAGTAAGGAGGAAATAAAGTTCTGGATAAAAAAGAAAGAAACTTTAAGATAATTAAGTTTCTCCATTAGAGGATTTTATATCAAATTAAGTTTTTTACTCAAATTTCTATTCAAATTTGAGCAAAGGTTTGAGTCATTGGTGGAGGTGACCTAAGAAGAGGATTTAAGTATTTTTCATTTTTTTGGTTTCCTTTGAGGGAATTTTATCATTCGTCTCTACATGTAATGTCATTCTAGTCAACTCACATTTTCTGACCTTTTGGTAGTTAGGAAAGAATTTGCGTTGACGTCCCAAATTTTTACCCTATCAGTGATTGGCGTGAGGTACCTTGTGAGATAGTAATATCAGTGACAAGGAGTTTCAGTGTCATTCCCAAAAATTCAAAATGTATCCTTGGATTTATGGATATCTACAAGGGGTGTAGCTGATATTTACAAAAATAAGCATGCCTTGCCAATCTTTTTGGATTAAATTTGGGAATTCATTTGAGTTCCTATTAATTCTTTTATGATTTTCTTCCCGGTTTTATCATTTTTGTTTCCTTTTCATCCTTTCTTTTTTGGCAATGATAATGTTCATAATAATATTTGCATTAAAATGTCCTGCAGGTGAGCTGCGCTGGGTTTGTTATAGTAATGGCTTTATAAAATGAGTTGAGTTCCATAATTTGCAGTATGGGCCCTGACCTGGAGATTAAAGGAAGACCAGAAATTGTTATGGAAGTATCAGCTGGTAAGGAGAATGACAGGGTCATGGGAGGACTCGAAGATAAGCATATGAATTGTGTAAGCAATTATGAGGACAACACATTTGGAATGGAAGATTCCTTAGTTGAACGGGAAGCCCACAGAAATGAGGTGGTGGAGGTCAATATAATGGATTGTTCTAACTCTGGTGACAATGGGCTGGTTGAAGCTGCTTGCCAGGATGCATCTGAGAACACGAGTTCTTTTGGTGACACTGATTCAGGAATCGAGAATGGTGCAATTTTGGGGGATGCTGAAGTTCAGTCAGAATTATGTGATGATGTTACATCAGCAGTGCCATTTGATGGATTTGGTGACGTGTTTCAAATGAGGTATCCATCTTTGCTTCAACCTTTGTATTCCTTAGATATCATTGCTTGGGTGAGGGCCAGAATGAAAAAGGCTCCTCTCTGCATTGGATTTGGCAATCAAGAAAACCTCATCTTTCAAAACTGTTTAGGAGAATTCCATTATGGAACAGTGGATTGAAAACTTGTCTTGATGTTTGAATCGCAGGTGAAAAAATACATAGTACATTATGTTACAAAGGTTATTTCTGGTTTGAAATTTGCTGCAAATTTTTTAATCCCACAAACCTAAAAGGTTCAAGATACATTTTATCTGCATTTATAGCACAGAATGAGTGCGAATGGTCATCAAACATTTGACTGAATTGTCGGGTTATTTTTCCCAAAGTTTTTCATTAGTGAATGATTCGTGTCTCTACTTTACCAAAATTTCTCTGATCAATTCAACATTTTTAGTTGTTCATGGCTTAAGTATAAACTACTATGGCCTCTTTCACTCTCCCTACTATTCTTCTTTCAAAATGGCACATCTAGGTTCTTCCTAAAAACTTTTACATATTTTTGGTTGGGGAAGTAGGGTCTTAATTGATGTTGTTATGGAGATGGGTATTTGATATGTGCTTTTTTTGAGGTCAAGGGTCAGCATTCCAATATTTTTTTCCGATCAAAACATTTCATTTCCATGGGAACCGAAACGAATCAGTAATTGAATATTTAAATTACAATCTTTCAAGTACTTTGAGATGTTTTTTGGAAACAAATATTTTAAATTTCAAATTGTTTCCGTTCCCCTGATTGGAACTATGCATGAAAGCAAAAATTTGATCCTTGGCGAGCTTATTTACCTCTCAGTGAAAGCCTTAGTACTTAATAGCCAAGAGGATTTTGTCAAAACGTTCTCAAGGATGTCTCTTGCTGTGAATTGGGCCTTGCTAATGAGGTTAGAAGAAAGAGAAGATTTATGTTTTTGTATATTGTAGCTAGATGGTTTTAAGGAAAAAATGTGAAACCTCAAATATTTGTTTCATTGTTCTATCATATGGAAGATCAAGAAGGTGATTTGATTGTCATGTATGTTGTCATGCTTATGCATTAGATATGTGATGGTTTTATGCATTAAAAGTTTTAGAGAGCTTCATTTTGCTTACCTGCTAAAATTTTGTTTTTGTTTTTGTGTTTAACCAAAGTGAAAGGGCATTTAAAGGCAGGTGTGCAAAATAATAAAGACACCTTTCATATTTGGGCCCATGCTTTTGAAATATCATGACAACTCTTACCACTTGAGGAGAGGTAATACGAATTAGATTGTAGCATGCCTGAAACTATGTGAACATGCTTGGAATTTGGATTTCCCCAACTTGGAATCTCAAGTTGGTTTAGTCGTTCTTTTTCATGAATCTGAGTAGATTTCTGCTGATCTTTTCTCTCAATTACTTCTTGCAGTCAAGTAGCTTCCTCCATTAAGAGTGTTGCACATTTATTCAGATGAGGTCTTTTGAGCATTCAACTCCATCGTGCTTTCTATTTGCCTGCCCCTCTCCTTTTTATCTTTGAACAATAAACCTATTGTGATTGTTTTTCCTTTTCTTTTTGTTATTCTGACACTGATCCTCACAAACATGATAATATCTCGCACAAAACTTTACCAATGCCCGGGAATACTATTTTGCAATTTCTTTACTGGAGAGTGAAGCCATATAATTTGAATAAGAAATTGCTGCTTCTGTGCAAATTTTTGATATTTGTGCTCGGTTTCCTGAGTGCATATTCATGTTTAATTTCAGTTGTTATGTGCAATATGCGTTTTATTTGACATGTTGCTCTTCCAGGAAGAAAAAGTTGACATCTCACTGGAGGGCATTTGTGCGACCCCTTATGTGGCGTTGTAAATGGGTTGAACTGCAACTCAAAAAATTTCAGTCTCAGGCAATAAAGTATGACAGGGAACTTGCTGAAAACAATCAAAGAAAGCAGTATGGATCAGAGAACCTTAAATTGGAAGGTTTTGCTGCGAAGTTACTGCCTTTTCCTAGTAACAGTCAAAGAGGAAAAGTTATGAAGCGAAGGAAAAGAAAAAGAGTTGAAAACTTAATGGATACTACAACTTATATGGCAACTCATAATCTGTTCTCCTATCATGGTACAAATTTAGTATTTGCTGGTCTCTTGTTTTGCTTCATTAATTGCCTTTTATAATTATGACTTTTATATGTGGGGTATATTGCAGAGAATAAGAAGTCTACTGCTGATGTTGCTTCTATGGATGACGATTGGGGTAATTTAGGTGAGGTGTAAGAAGTTTGTTCTATGCTTTAATTTCTCTCTTTTTGTAGCTTTATTACACGTAGCTGAGCCGTACGGAGCAGTATCAATATGTTATATTTGTCTTCAGAATGGTCTCAGTCAGTGCCAATGAGACTAGATGAGTGAATGTGGAAGCAGAAATCCAAGATATGTGTAGAATTCAAATATCTTTGAAAGTAAAAGATATGTGTAGAATCCAAATATGTTTGGAAGTAAGAGATGTGAAAGGAATGTTTTGATTCTTCCCATGTATAAGAAACCAGGAGATTAGGAACATGAGTGCAAAACTGTGGACATTTTCTAAAATGGAAACAGGAAAACTGCAAAGCCAATTGATCATTCAGTCAAATTAGTCGAGTCTAGAGCTCTACGTGAAGGGTATTCTCAGAATGAGTGCCATGTGGTCAATATCAAAACACTTGCCATTTCTTGGTAGACAATGGCAAGACTCTTTCTTAAGATGATATGTCCATAGTATCACAAAATTTACTGTCTTCTGGCATGTTGCCAACTTTTGAATGTTCATCCACTAAGGCCACAAAATTTATGAACTTAAGAAGACCCACAACCCTCACCTCCTTTGACCCTTCCACTTTTCATGATACTACTGCTCCACAACCTGACCCCCTGTGATATCCTGATCTCCCTTGTTGTCCATCGAGTAGCTCCAAATCAGGTTGCTGTTCTGCCGGGGCTGTTGGGTTCAGCTGGTGGTTAGAGAGTGGACTCTTCATTGTCCCTATCGTAGAGAGTGTTCCTGGTGGTTCGGTGACTGGTGTTGTTGGTCCATGATCTCTGGGTCTGGTTCGCCTCTCATCCAAAATAAATCACCTTCCACAACAAATGCCTGCACTCACTTTTTTCCCCCAAAAAATTTCAAATAGAAGAAGTGCAACTTCTGCAGAATTGAGTGCAACTACAGTGGACACCACATCCTTCTCCACCATAGAATTGGTGAATAGAGGGAAAAAAGATGTATGCATCAGCTTTGTCAAAATGGCAACCATAGTGGAAATTATTTTATTTCAAATAAATTGAGTACTTTCAATTCATGTTTGTTGAATGAGACATAAAATAGATGACACTGTAATTCTGCAGAGTTTATTCGTGTTTGAGTTCTTCTTAGTGATAGGTTAGTCTTTTTCTGCTACAGTGATTTCTGCAGATAAGAAAACCAATTGGAAAGATGAGGATGGGGTCAACGATGAATTGTTATCAATTGAGTTAACGGAGCGTGATAATTCGTTGGAACAAATACTTCGAAAAATTGGAGTTGTGCAGTCACAAGTCGGCAAACTGAAGACCAAACTCAACAAGGTAATGAGTGAAAATGCTGGGAGGTTCTCTTCGACTGATGAGTCGAGCTTGCTTGTACCTTGTAATGCATTCACCAGCTCTGCCCGAAGTCCTGCTTCTCCTCCAATCAATGGGGACAGAATGCCATTTGGGTCTTCTTATATTGCTTCTCAGCCTATATGTGAGTATAATGTGGGTGATGTGGTTATGCCTGAAAGTGCAGTTTCGAGCCATGGAGAAGTGACCCATATTCCTGATATAACAGAGAGCACAGATCAGCGCCTGCCGTGTAAAAGTGTAAGTGTGTTTTCTTATTGTTTTATATCCTTACACTCCCTCCCTCCCTATCTATCTATCTATCTATCTCTGNGATCAGCGCCTGCCGTGTAAAAGTGTAAGTGTGTTTTCTTATTGTTTTATATCCTTACACTCCCTCCCTCCCTCCCTATCTATCTATCTATCTATCTATCTATCTATCTCTGTGTGTGTGTGTGTACTAATGTCCTTTTCCCCCCTTCTCGGTGGGTGTTTTTGGGGTTTTTTTTTTGGGTGGGGCCCAGGGGACTTAGGAGCATTGTTACAATTTATCATTTTTAACCTTGTTTCTTCCCTTTTCCATTTTTTCATTCACAATTGTGGTATTTGAGGTAGCATTTTTTTTTTTGGTTCGTTTTTTAGTGGAATGTGGTATTTTAGGTAGCATGGAGACGCCCTACCTACTTAACTACCTAGGAATCTTGTGGAATGCTGGTTTTCATGTTATTTTAAATGTGATTGGAACTCACTCATCCCCTATGTGTGTAGTCTGGGGATGAAATTCTGATATACCACCGGAGAGCGAAGAAGGAGCTAAATAATTTTGCGGAAGTTAAGGTTCATCCTATAGAGAAGCCCCAGGTGGCAAAGCTACCAAAGGAAGAGCAACAGAGCACTATTCCTCCAGTTATGGTTCTAGAAGACCAGCCTGCAGATGATCAACCAACTCCTAAAATACGTTCTCTTTCCAAGCTTACTGCCCCCAAGATCAAGAGAAAGAGGGGGACACGGAAGGCTGGTAAATGGAGCCGCAGATCCTCAGTTTAGGTCAGATGTGTTCGAGTTGGAAGTGCACAGAGTTTGATTTGAATGCTCGGGACCAGAGAAAATTGATGTTTGTTGCGTCAGTGCAAGAAAAATTTGTACATGCTTCATATTCAGATGTAANCTCGGGACCAGAGAAAATTGATGTTTGTTGCGTCAGTGCAAGAAAAATTTGTACATGTTCCATATTCAGATGTAATCNATGCTCGGGACCAGAGAAAATTGATGTTTGTTGCGTCAGTGCAAGAAAAATTTGTACATGCTTCATATTCAGATGTAATCTCTCTCTCTCTCTCTCTCAAGAAAAGTTCTTGATATATATTATTCTGCTGTTCGAATCTGTTGGTCGGGAATTGGGTTGTCCATTGAATGAGTGATTACATTAGCTTTTCAAATACTTGTTAGAGAGGTGGTATAAACGGTGATCTCTCCCTCATACTGCATCTGTTTTCTTGTTGAAATGCTTTATAGAACAAACAGCTGATGCAATTCTTACTGCACTTTATGACGGCTTTGGCACTTATACCACTGGTTACGCAATCCTAATGGCATCAATTTGGCTTGGTCTGCACTTGATTTTTATTTGGGGAATAAACGGAAAACCCAATTGATACATCTCTCAGGCCGACAAAGTCTTACAATATAGTTGTTTGCATGTTAATTGCATCTTTCTTGTACTGCATATTTGCTTACAAGTCCCCTTGCATCTCTGTACATGTCGATTTTCTTTCTTTTTCTTTCCTTGATTGGGACCGAGTTAGGATAAGAGAACATGTTAAAGAAGATTTTCTACATCATGTGCGCATTCGGGTTGAGACTCCGCAATCAGGATGCCACATTTCCGAGGAACATCCTCCTGGAAAGCTTAACTGAGACAAGAGCCAGCACTGTGGCAGAGGGCACGAAAAGGACATCGGGGATGGCCTTGATCATTCTCAGCTGAGGCACACTTTCACCGGCTCTCTTAACTGCCATGGCTGCTGGAGGTGTTACCAGTCCGGTAATGAGGGTGGAGTCATCCAACTTGCTAAGATTCACTCTATTTTTCATGAAGTCCATGAACAGCTTCTTTCTTTCTGATTCATTGGCTTCTTTCCATTCTATAAAACATGCCTGTTCTATTTTATGGATTAGTAGGGTCCCTGTGTGTGTGTGTGTGTGAGAGAGAGAGAGAGAGAGAGAGAGAGAGAGAGAGACCTCAATTTCTTTCCGCGGTGGAACATCATAATGTTTACCGGGCAATGCTGCATTGACGTTGCTGGAAAGAAAGGGGAAATGAACAGAAGAAAACAATAACAAAATCGAATTTTCGAAGTTTAAGACATGGTAAAAATGATCCATTTTGTCACAAACATGCTACTATGGCTTCTTGGGTTTAGCTAGCATCACTTTTCTTTATTTTGGTGGTTTAAAAATCAGGTTTTATAGTTGAAGAAATCTTACTTGAAGATATCAAGGATTGCCATGTGGAAGTCCTCAAAGTTTTCGACATCTTTCTCTACGAACTGCCTGTAAAGTGTTCCCATCACCAAACTTAACATCTGTGTTGTTGGCAACCCTATTATCATCCAAATAAACAGTTTGATATCATTGATGATGTAAAAAATATACATATATGCTGTGATATATATATATTCATCTTCACTAAATTCTAGCACAACGGAAAATTTTTCAATGATGAGATTGATAAAAGAAAAAAGGAAAAAAAAACCAATATCGGTAAGGGAGATCACAAACCTTTTCCCATGAAGCTCATAAAAATCCCCATTTTGCTAATATGGACACTGAGTAGACACAATCATGATGTATATACATTGAGAGAGAGAAAAATAAAGGTGCAAAGGGGTATGGAATGACTTGTCNGCTAATATGGACACTGAGTAGACACAATCATGATGTATATACATTGAGAGAGAGAAATAAAGGTGCAAAGGGGTATGGAATGACTTGTCAGTGGAAGTGAGCACTAGTCAAGCAAAGAATCCACCAGGTTATAATACAATCTGATTCCTGGCTTGGACCTAACTTTTAGTGTGAAGAGGAGCCCAGGCTATCCATGGTGGACTTTTTATTGAAGGTATTGCCACTCCATCCACTTCTTGTGTATATGCAAAGCCACACCATGGCTTTTAGATGGTTTTACCCACACCGCTGCACCCATGAAAGCTTCTCTTTCACCGGCGAGAAATAAGGCGCTATTTTGGAGGGTCACTTCATCGGTCCTATCTGAGACTCGGTTTCATGGTCACCCTGCAAAAACAATATTATGCACTCAAGTGGTCATCAAAAACCATTCTTCTTGGAGTTTGTTTCTAACTCACTACATTGTTTACTTCACTTTACAAGGTAAAATCATATGTTCTTCAACAAATGCAGGAGGCGATATGGAAAAGGCTGGATTAACAGAATTGACGGTCTTCTGCTTTAACTGACAACCTAACTCTAATAAGCTTGGCAGGGGAACTAAGATGCCTTTGTTTTGAGTGAGCTTCCAAGAGGTGTGCCACAGACTTTGAGAGATGAGAATATCCACACTTGGTAAGTGGTCCTACGTTGGCAATAGAAATACTAGCCTGAAATATAAAGAACTAAGGTAGCAGGTTTAGAAAGTTCCATACCTTAGCTTATTTGAAGGAAGAATCCATTTCTCAATGCATGCAGGCAAAACTTGAACATCAGCCATGGTATAATCTTAAAACCAACTTGACAAAATAACGAAGAGCTCATATCGGTCACTCCTTGTTACTTGGTCTCTATTGACTGCTGGCTTTATGGATAGTTATAGCTTGTGCTATGCCCAAGCTTCAACAGCTATTTAAGTCTCTTTCTGGATTAATTGTCCTGTCCCTTCATGTGCATCCACAACTGCCCTAAAATTGAGTGTATCACCTCCCACTGTGGGTGCACCTTATCCCCAGCTACAAACTCCCAGATCCTACTATCTACCTCAATAACACTACAACCAGCCTCTTTCTTTGCCCCCTTCCTCCTCATTAATCCTTTAATTTCCTCGACATCTCTCCATCTTCTCTCGGTGGCATACAAATTCCTCAACATGATATAGTTGCCATCATTCCACGGCTCCATTTTAATTGCCTTGTTTGTGACTCTCTCGGCCCTTGTAACATCCTTAGCATAGCCACATGCAAATAAAAAAGAACTCAATATTATCCCATTAGCCTCAAAAGGCATGCTCTCAATCAACTTTTCAGCTTCTTCCAAACGCCCTGCTCTACCCAAAAGATCTACCATACAACCATAGTGCTCAATTCTTGGGGTGAGTCCATATTCTACCATTGACCGAAACCATCTCTTCCCTTCCTCCACTAAACCACCATGGTTACAAGCAGACAAAATGCCGAGCATAGTTATCTCATCTGGCTTAAATCCTTTATCTTTCATCTCCAAAAATACTTCCAATCCTTCCTTGGCACGCCCATTGACTGCCAACCCATTTATCAACGCATTCCAAGTAGCTGTTTCTTTTTCAGACATTTCATCAAAAATTCTTCTTGCTTTTGTAATTTCGCCGCATTTAGCATACATATCAACCAGAGCTGTGCAAACTTTAGTCAATCTATTCAGCTTTTTCCTCCTGACAAATTGGTGAATCCAATCACCCAAATCCAAAGCACCCAGATCAGCAATAGCCGGAAGAACAGAAACAATACTCACATTATCAGGTTCAAACGACGTTCCCATTTGCAACTCGTGAAACAATTTCAATGCCTCATGGGGTTGATTATTTTGGCAACACCCACCAATCATCGCATTCCATGTAAACAAATTCCTTTCAGGCATAACATCAAATAACAACCTAGCTGAATCAACATCTCCATTATTGCAATATCCATCAATCATACTAGTCCAAGACACCACATTCCTCTCCGGCACCGAGTCAAACAAACTCTGAGCCGACCCCATGTCTCCCGACTTCACATAACCGTCAATCATTACATTAAAGGATGCANTCCATTATTGCAATATCCATCAATCATACTAGTCCAAGACACCACATTCCTCTCCGGTACCGAGTCAAACAAACTCTGAGCCGACCCCATGTCTCCCGACTTCACATAACCGTCAATCATTACATTAAAGGATGCAGAGTCTTTCTCCGGCATCTGACTAAAAAGCTCTTTCGCATTACCCATTTCTCCATATTTTACATAACCACCAATGAGAGCTGTCCAAGACACTTGGTTTCTCTCAGTCATTTCGTCAAACAACTTTCTTGAACAATCCATCTTTCTAAATTTCGCATACATATCAACCAATGCAGTTGACACAAACACGTTACTACCAAACCCAAATTTCAGCACATGATTATGCATTTCTTGGCCTTCCCAAAAGGCCAAACTTGAACCACAACACTTTGCTAAAGTCGAAAACGTGTAATTATCGGGGGCAAAACCCGTGTTTGTCCTGAGATCTCTGTATAGAGTTATGGATTCCATAAATTGGTGCACACCCAGGTGGGCTTTCATCATGGTGTTACAAAGAAAGGTGTCATCTCTCTGAAGTCTATGATCGAACATGCGACGGGAGTGGTGGATTCCGGAAAGTGGGTCAGAGTTCGCAGAGATGGAAGCAATAGAAGAGCAGGTCGTGATGAATTTGGTGAGGAGGTTGACGTTGCCTTCAAGGGCGTTTCGGAGCATAAAAGTATGGATTTGAAGGAGAGTTGTTCTGGTGTTTCTCTGTTGGAGGAGAGAGAGACACTTTCTCTCTCTTAAACTCCACAGGCACCGGTCTTCTTTCTCACTCATTGATTGGAATCGTTTCGTTCTCTCTCTCCAACCTTCATTTCGTTCGGTGCATGAGTTTTTGAATGAGAGTTTTGTTGGACCGTTGGTCGGCTGTTGCATGTTTCTGACTTAAATCATTTAAACCTGTGTTTGTTTGGAAGGATTAAGGTTGATATGACAAATAGGATTGAATAAAAAAATTGGAGGCCCATATGTTCTAGGTTTGGATTGTCCAAAATGGATAGAATTTTCGTTGAACTTGAATTAATCGGCCCGTATGAATTTTTCTTGTTCTCCCGCCAGACTAGGATACCTCAAACCCGGCTGAAGTTTGGGATTACTAAGCCCAACTAATGGATAAGGGATAAAATTACTAAAATGCCCAAGAACAGTAAGTAAATTAGGGTTTTTACCCTTTTTCCCTTTCTCTTTCACCTGATCCCTCATCTGGTCCCCCACTTTGACAATGGCGCGCATAACTCAGGTAAATCTCTCTCTCTTTCTCTCTCTCTCCTTCCTGTGTCCGTCGTCTCTCTATCTCTTCCCTGTTTATCACTTTTGGTGGTCCCTCTGTCTCTCTCTGTTCTTNTAAAATTACTAAAATGCCCAAGAACAGTAAGTAAATTAGGGTTTTTACCCTTTTTCCTTTCTCTTTCACCTGATCCCTCATCTGGTCCCCCACTTAGACAATGGCGCGCATAACTCAGGTAAATCTCTCTCTTTCTCTCTCTCTCCTTCCTGTGTCCCTCGTCTCTCTATCTCTTCCCTGTTTATCACTTTTGGTGGTCCCTCTGTCTCTCTCTGTTCTACTCTTCGTCCATGGCTGACGACTGAAATGATGCTGGGTCCAAGCTGAAATTTTTCGTTCATACAATACAGTATTTTTTTGTAATCTACTAGCNTTCGTCCATGGCTGACGACTGAAATGATGCTGGGTCCAAGCTGAAATTTTTCGTTCATACAATACAATATTTTTTTGTAATCTACTAGCTGAGAGATGAAATCCTCTACACTTTCTTCTTGTTTTGGTTTTCTCCCATACTCCACGAAGGACCTTTCCATGGCTTACAAGAAACAAAATTTGTGGCATGATTTTTTTTTTTTGAAACTACTTATATATTGAAATGAAAATGTAGAACATGTATGATATATTTTTATTTTTCAACCAGTTACATTCCAATCGCAGCATATATACTGAAATGAAAAAGAATTAGTTGAATCTTTGGACTAGTGCTTCTGCAGTCCCATTTCCATAGCCAGTAGATTACATACATACTAATATGTGTGATAAATGTATCTCTATCTATTTTTTGCTTACTGAGTAGTGTAAATCTTTTGTATGCGTAATTGCTTTTGCTACTACTTTGTTGCCCATGCAGTCCCACTCAAAGTTTGCTTGTTATTGTGTTCTATCTTTTTTCTTCCTTTTTTTGCAGGATTTGGTTTTTTTGCATGTCATGGTCATACAGGATATATGGAGATTGAGAGATATATATTCAGTCTTTGTGACAGTAGATGAAAACATTTTTAAAAAAAAAATACAGCCACTTGGTAGACTAAAAAAAAATGCTCATGAACTTACTATGTTAGATCACACGACTTGACTGTATGCGTATGTTGTATATAATTTTTCTTATTAACACATATTTTGTTCTTTTTTACATGTTTTGAATGAGGTTTTTATATAGTTAGTCCCATAATGCCTTCTTGTATTTTGTCTGGTGCTTGAAATTAATTTTATCGTCTTTTAATTTTTACAAATAAATAACGGCTAATTTCTACTATAGTTCTTGTGAATTTGGGTTGTGCCGTAGTTGTTCGTATATTCTGGCATTATTTGTTGGTACTTTGTTAAAATCTTTGACGGATGATATACATTTGTGAGCGACTTATAATTTTGTATTATAAAATCAACGTGTAATAATATGTATTTGGTGAATACATAAGCATTTTTATATTTTTCACATTATTAAATTGGTAACCAACAATGATCAAAAACTAAAAAAATAATTATTTCAAAAGTGGTATCCAACAATTGTCAAGCCAAATATGAGATAGGATTGAATACGATTCAAGGGTAAAATAGTCAATCAATGTCAAAAGTATTAGATATTTAATAAAAAATTATAGTAAGTTTGTCTATATCTCAACTCATTCTTAATGCACTATCCAAAGCAGGGATTGAATAACACAATTTCNAGGGTAAAATAGTCAATCAATGTCAAAAGTATTAGATATTTAATAAAAAATTATAGTTTGTCCATATCTCAACTCATTCTTAATGCACTATCCAAAGCAGGGATTGAATAACACAATTTTCTTTTATCCCCCCACATATCCGGTCTATTGGGATTTCACTGGATTGGTTTGGGATTTAAATCCAAGCCAATCCAATCCATCCATGATTTGCCAAACACACCCTTAGGTGTTTGTTTGATAGGATTGAGGGGATTAAAATAGTGAAATAACCCACTTATTTCAAATTTGGTTGAAAAATTTGAAATCCTCTTCTTGTGGGATTCAAAAATTCGGTATGCTCTACGGCTGAACTTGAATCCAAGTCAGAAGGAATTATCTAAACCCATGGCCATGGAAGGATTGAAAACCTAGTGAAGGAATAAATGATAAAATTACAAATTACACCATTAAACAGTGTTTTTTGCTAGGTTTTGGTACCCNAGTCAGAAGGAATTATCTAAACCCATGGCCATGGAAGGATTGAAAACCTAGTGAAGGGATAAATGATAAAATTACAAATTACACCATTAAACAGTGTTTTTTGCTAGGTTTTGGTACCTAGCTCCATCACTTTCCAACACACAGCATCCCCACTGGTCCCCCCACTAACGGTGCCGAAGTCCAAGGTCCAGGTTTCTCTCTTTCCCCCTCTGTCTCTCTCTCTCTCTTTCTCTCTCTCTTCTTTGTATTGGCGTATTATGTTGGTGACTGTGATTCCTGTGTAGAATTTTATAATAAGCTTGGTTTGGATTGCAGAGTGTGAACCACTGTTCACCTTCTTCCCAGAAGAAATCTCTGTATTTGTCTATATAACAAAAGCTCAATAAAAAAGAATTTTTTTTTTTTTGGCCAAGTATATAAACCCATTTCATTTTCAGTCGTGTCTCCATCGTCTTTTGTGCTCCATTTCCACTCTGTCTTTCCTCTCTTCTCTGTCAATCACCTCTGTCTAGATTGAATTTCAATTCTTGTATGAGCCTCTTAGTGCTCTCTAGCTCCTTTAAAACTTGCATTTTTGCATCTTTAGCAGCCTCAGACTGTTTCTTATGCAGTGGAATTTTCTCCCGCATTTTCTCAAGTTCCTGTTCTACAAATTTGCGTCTCTGCGCACGCCATAAAAGAAATTTGGAATTAGTTTTGCAAGAGACGACAATTTCTCTACTTCTAAATACAATGTTGCACTGAACACAAATCTGGTTACAAGACATCATCACACAATGACAAAGTAAAATTAAATACAAAACCAAATGTTCTACCTTTTAATCTTCTTGATATTCATATTTTTTGTTGTAAAAAAAACTATGCTAATGGATTGAATTTTTTTTTTTCATTCCATTCCAAACATGGTATGAGATTGGATCACANAATCTGGTTACAAGACATCATCACACAATGACAAAGTAAAATTAAATACAAAACCAAATGTTCTACCTTTTAATCTTCTTGATATTCATATTTTTTGTTGTAAAAAAAACTATGCTAATGGATTGAATTTTTTATTTTCATTCCATTCCAAACATGGTATGAGATTGGATCACGTTGTTTACACAAGGGTAAAATAGTCATTTTAGCATGTTTTATCTTCACACGTTAATGGGTTCCACAAACAAAATAAAACCTATCCAAACATGGGATAAGATTTGAATCCCGGATTATAATCCTATAATCTGGACTACTTTGGATTGGGTTGGATTGAGTTTGGATTCAAATCCAATCCAATTCAATCANACGTTAATGGGTTCCACAAACAAAATAAAACCTATCCAAACATGGGATAAGATTTGAATCTCGAATTATAATCCTATAATCTGGACTACTTTGGATTGGGTTGGATTGAGTTTGGATTCAAATCCAATCCAATTCAATCATTCCATGGTGATCCAAACACCACCTTAATATTTAAAATATTATACATAGACCACTCAAAGTTGGTACACTCGTAACACTTAAAATTATGTCATCAATGACCATTACTAAATCTGTTAGTAAATTACACCAAACTCCCTGAAATTTATAGAATATCACACTTACATTCCTCAAGTTTAAAATATTATATTTAAACCACTTATTACTTACAGAACTAACAAAATCTATTCAACGATCAAATTATCCTAATTAAAGATAGAAGATATTATATCCATTACAATTTGACCTATTGTTATTTTTTAATTTTATTCTAATAGATAGTATAATTGGATATTAATTAGAATTTTTTTTAAGAAAAATAGATTTTTAATTTTAATTTTATTTCAATAAATTACATAATAAAACATGAATTTTAATTGTAAAATTTAAAATATTTGATATTCTATCTTTAATTGGAATATTTTTAGNATAAAACATGAATTTTAATTATAAAATTTAAAATATTTGATATTCTATCTTTAATTGAAATATTTTTAATCTAAGTATAATATTTTAAAAAGTCTAAATATTACATGCCTAAATAATTTTAAAGATCTGAGTATAATTTACTAACGAATAGACTATGATATTGACAACAGGGATTTAAGTGTTATACACGTACAAATTTTAGGAGATCTATATATAATATTTCAAATGTCAATAGGTCTAAGTGGTGTGGATGTAATTCCCCTTATATCTTTCTAATAAAGGGAAAATTAACATTATTTGAGATTATATTTACCAAAAAAAATTATTTTAAATTATAAGCAATATTCCCATTTCTTTATATTTTACAAAAATCAAATATTGACCATACAATAATCAAATACTAGTAATAATCCCATGCCACTATGCATTATAATAATTGAATATTGGTTGTAAAATATTTATATTTTAAATAATAATTTATTTTAATTACACAATTTAAAATTAAGATGAGAAAAAGGTAGGAGAGAGAGAGAGAGAGGAGAGACATACATATGGATTAAAGGGATCATTTGACATTGAAGAGTGTACAAAAATTTGGGATAAATTTTGTATCATTAGATCAAAATAGATGAAAATTGAATCAATTTTAACTATTGTTGTGTTTTTATAAATCAAAAATTCAACTTCCTAATTGTAATATGATGATTTTGAGCTTAGCTTAAACTCTTTACTTGATAAATGAGTATCATTTTAGAGCTCATTACAATTCAAACCAAGTTTTAAGTAATTCCATTTTTTTTCCTTTCATTAACTCAATGGTGGCAATGACAAGAAAAAAAACCCAATGGTGGCATTGATGCCTAAACTTAGCAATAACCTTTGCACTTTTAGAATTTGAATACAAAACAAGAACTCTTACATAAAAATAGAATGATATGTTATAAAGTAATTTTGAGGACCACCCAAAAAAAAAAAAAGTGATTCAGTGCATGAGACTTTTGTCATTGTAAGGAAAGGTCGGTGTATGCAGCTTTACCCCAATAAACGGAGTGATTGCTTTAACAATTCAAACCGACTACACCTAAATGACAATGGAGCAAACTATAAATACAAATGAAAACGATTGGACAACAACATTACAATTGGCAAAAAGGAGAAAAAAAGCTAAGAAAATGAATAAAGTCAAAACTTCATTTAGACAGTGTAGTTCTGGTTCATGGCATCGATATCAAAACCCCTCAGCTTGGCAAAAGACTCCACCTTTCCTTTTAGAGTGTGAAGCTCTCTTAGCCTGCACAAATTCAAAAAACTTACTATCAGGCTCAAAAGAGATGGCATTCAAGAAGCATCATTGAAATGCTTCCCATGGAAAATCTCGAAGAGCCAAAGATTTATCATGTAAAACTTATCAAAAATATTTTGAGACATTAACTTCATCTGATTAATAAACCTAGTAAAATAGAAGAGGAAAAAAAAAGACCAAGAAAGCATTCCACTAACAACTAGAAATCATGTTCTCTTGGAGCCAAACACAGGTTGGAATCATGGAGGGATGCACAACACGAAACATGTAATGCCTGTTACTTGTATGTATTTTCATAGTCAAAAGCTACCTTGCAATCTCTGCACGCCTTTTAGCTTCTTCTGCCATGATATTAATGTCCCTAAATGTGGCGGTCTCTAAAAACATCTTTGGCTCAACAGACCGTAGGCCATGTAGTGTACGTTGCTCAGATGCCCATGCGGCCTCACGAGCTTCCCTGCCGAAGTCCTTTTGGGTGGTGAATGCAGTCTGGTGAAATGCAACAAAGAACGCCATGTAAGTTTTTGACACTAAAATACCCAATAATGCAGCAGATTCAGAATTCCATACATGTACAAACCTGGAAACTTGGTATATCATGCAAATTAGGAAAAATATAAGGCATATGTGGTCTATTTGGAAATTATTGACATCATTGGGAACATTTGAAAATTTTGAATTGTTCAAAAACTATGCACATTTTGTGAAATGTCGTTATTAATTCCTGAATTATATAGTAAGGTATTGATGCTTTATATAAAGGGTAAGCTTTGAACCATTGGTATCATTATCAGGTTTTGTCGAAGTTTTTTGAGGGGGTTCCAGTCACACTCACTCTTTTTTCCACCACCAGACCCCAGGCCCGTCCACTAAGGGNATGCTTTATATAAAGGGTAAGCTTTGAACCATTGGTATCATTATCAGGTTTTGTCGAAGTTTTATGAGGGGGTTCCAGTCACACTCACTCTTTTTTCCACCACCAGACCCCAGGCCCGTCCACTAAGGGCATATCGAACAGCAAATTTGATAGGATCAAGAAGCATGTAAGTCAGTATATTGTACAACCAGATGACACCTGTCCAGCCCCAACCTATCTTTCTGATTCCAGCAGGCTTCCAGGTAGCAGTGGCAGATATCACAGTTGCAATCTACAAACATAAGTATAACAAGTTTCGAACTATTAAACAAATGCCTGATCAAAGAAAAAATTATTTACATTTTTGTNTCTTTCTGATTCCAGCAGGCTTCCAGGTAGCAGTGGCAGATATCACAGTTGCAATCTGCAAACATAAGTATAACAAGTTTCGAACTATTAAACAAATGCCTGATCAAAGAAAAAATTATTTACATTTTTGCAATGAGCTGGAACTAGGCAGTTAAACACTAGTAATGATAAAACATAGTTCCTTCTTTTCTTGTAGTCGGGAGCTGAAATTCATACTCTGTACTATGAAAAATTTAGGTGCAACTATCATAAAGTGAAGAGATAAGGGCAACAAACCAATGAAATGGGGGAAGAATGGGACAGGAATTGAATGGTATCATACTAAAGAAAGCAGATTTGAATAATTCTCCATTTGATAAAGTCAGACGTTAATATTCCCTACTACTTCAAAGTGCATGACGTTGCTGAAAGTCAGGAAAATTTAGCCTTTCAGTGCATTTTGGTTAGGAGTGTTTCTTTCACCAGACATATCAGGTATATTCCTCGAACAAAGATAAAATAACCAAAAAAAATGAGCAATAGTAGAGAAATACATGAATATGTATTCAGAGAAAATGCTTATGAAGAAAAATGGTTTATGTGAGGATCAGCGGTTGGCCTTATGGCCACTGCAGCCCGCCATTGGACCGTTAGGTCTCGGGTTCGAACTTCACCTCCCCCAACCCTGAATTAAAAATAAATATAAAAATGGTTTATGTAGTTTTTAGAATTGACGATGTTACTCCCTTTCATGTATTTTATGCATGCCCAGATTAGTCTTATGATCCACATCTTTCCCACTGGAGATGCAAAAGGATAGCAACAAAAGGTAGCAATGACCACAGGGGTCTACAGTAAATAAGTTTTCCTTGTGGTTCCGAATAGTTCTGGAAATTCTGGAATCACATGGGAATAAAGAAGATGAAGTAAATTCGAAAACGAATTCATAACTAACAAGTGAGAAAAATAAACTAACAAAAAAACTGATATACTAGAAATACATGAAAATATCAGTAATCAAAAAGAAAATGACAAATTATATCAGTAGTTGATAAGTTTGCATATAATTTTGCAATTAAGTGAATTATATGGTTGATTGAAAAGGGGGAGGATATCTCATTACCAATTGAGCAAGAATGAAGGCAATTACAAGCAGAAGACCAGGTCGTTCTGTGAAAGACCAGCCCCTAGAGCGAGTCACAAATATTAAGGCTTGACTGATGGTGCTGATTTGAAGATAAACAGCAGATGCCAACATTTCTCTAAGTGGCTTAGCTTCGTCCTCGTTTGACATATTGAAGTTATGCTGGTTGAAGTCCTTTACATGGAAAGTATTCTGCCCATACAACAACAAAATGAAAAGAAAGAAAGAAAGAAAGAAAGAAAAGAGACAAGAAGGTTAACCAAAGAATTGAAAATTAAATTTACATCATGTGACTGTACAAATATGAACTCTGTGTGAAAAGACCTCGGGCGCATTTGGGACATTGACCAGTTGAAGGCACAACATTGCCATTGCTTAAACACTTGGAGAACAATAGTGAATGACAACTCAAGTTGTTTCGTGACCTTTCAGATTATCTGAGGGTCAATAGTTTCAACTTCCAAATTACCATGAATTGGAACAATACAGGGAGCACCAGAAAATTAACGGTGTTAGACAACCACTTTCCTCAAAAGCTCAAGTTATTTGAGAAGGGGGAAAACAATGTAAAGGCTCCTTATTCCATATTTCCACCTTGACCTTAGTGCATTTTGTTCGCTCACGCAAAATTATTAAGTTTATGATTTTCTATGAATTGCTGGAGCTGGCTTGCTATTTTACCTTAAAGAAATTAGTGTCATATGCTGCCCAGAAGAATACAACAGTCATTATAGCCAAGTATGCACCAAGGACAATCCCAGTTGCAAAAATTTCACTGAGCTTCCAACTGTCCGGAAGGGGAGAAGGTTTGACCCTGTCTTTGGAAATAGTCATGATAGTACCTGGATGATAAGTTGCAGGTCAGGTAAAAAGCAGCAGGAAGAAAAAGTCAATGCAAAAGTATTCAAACAATATATGAAGATTCAAAAACTAGTGTACTAACCATCATTAAGAATGGCAATGACAAGAACCATAAAAGGAGGGAAGTCAAACTTCCAGAAAACATTCAGCAACATAAAACCTAGCTGTGATATACAACCCAAGTTGCAAATGAGACAAGACTGATGTATAAAAACGTTAACAGAATTGTAACATAAAGTTTAGTTACCAGAAAGCTTACCACAATACGAATAGTAATTGAAACAGCATATATCTGGAGAAAGAAAATAAATTCATTGCCTTTATGGTCAGTTTTACACAACCCTCGTGTCTTTGCCAAAGTACCAAATATTGAAGTATACATTACCGTGTAGTTTTTCATTCTCTGGAAGATTGCGCGGCTTGTTAGGACAGCACTAATGATTACACTCAGTCCAGGTTCTGTTAGAACTATATCAGAAGCACCACGCGCAGCGTCTGTAGAATCTGCCACAGCAATTCCGATGTCAGCTTTCTTTAAGGCAGGTGCATCATTTACACCATCACCTGTCATTCCACAGATGTGTTTTCTATCTTGTAGTCTCCTCACAATCTCATATTTGTGTTCTGCAGAATAAAAATGAAGTCAGAAGTCCGTAAGATTATGATGAAAGACATTGCATATTGTAAACATCAGTTGTACCAGGAAAGACTCCAGCAAAACCATCAGCTTTCTCAATGAGTTCATCAATTGGTAGAGCTCCAACTGCCCCATCCTTGCTATCACCCAACAAAGATGAAGAAGGGTACATATTTGACCCCATTCCAAGCCGTCTTCCCGTTTCCTTAGCTATTGCCAGTTGGTCACCTGCAAAGGTTTCGATGTAGTTGCATGAGCTCACATCTTAAATGCAAGTGGCAGAAGTATAAAAAATGACATAATTAGAAAGATGATTATCAATTGAGTTAATTTTTATTTACGCCTTAAACTGACAATGTATTCAACTGAATAAATAGAAACACTATTATCAACAGAATGTGTTCAACCGTTACCATCAATGTAATCTGCCCTGCATTTGTATAGACTAATAAATTTTCATGAAATTGCAAAACTATTTGGAATATGGGATATTCTTTCACTCATCCTTTGTTTAGAACAAATTACTGATTCAAAAACCATTGACATTGATGAATTGTATGAAATTCATCTCTTTAATACTGGTATATTCTGCTTGTGCAGGTTGTGTTTTTCACTTAAAATGTGCTTTTAGGGAAATATGAATCCCTGTGTTGGGGTTCAGATTGATATCCTTGTGCTGTCAGGTTGCTTCCTGAAAGTAACAATTAACGTAGTATTTCTGTTGTAACACCTCCAGCTGCAGATCAATATTCTTTCCAGTGATAATATCTAACTCAAGCGTATGTGTAGAGCTCCGCAAGGCCATTGACATTCCAAATTGTTGCGACATCTATGCAGAGACATATTGATGTTATGCAACACACGGAAAAGAACTAAGATAATGATTGCAATGACTGACAGTTATGTAGGCCTTCAGAGTTCATACATGCCTTTTTTTTATCAGGACATGCCATTTTGTATTATTCGCCTCCTAAATTAAATGATGTATCATTCAAAATTGCTTAGTTCACAAGTCAGAGGCCAAAAAGATGCAGCAAATAAACATGAGATCATTGGTGAGAGCAACTTGCGAAAGATTCAGTGACACACACCTGTTATCATCTTCACACTCACACCAAGATCTAGAGCTCTCCTAATCGTTTCAGCACTATCATGACGAGGAGGGTCAAAGAGAGGGAGAAGGCCAACAAATTCCCAGGGACCACCAGGACTGTCTTTCTTACCCGCAGGTACTTCCTAGAGGAGGCAAAAAGGTTCAATTCTTCCATTTATTTGTGGATAAAGAGGAAATAAATATACACAAGATGACAAGTTCACAAAATCTCAGTTACCTGGCGAGCAACTCCAAGGGAACGGAGCCCACGTTCTGCAAATTTGTCAATCATAGAATGTACCTTCCGTGCAATTTCTGATTTGTTATGTGCTAGATTGAGAATCTACATGCCATAAATGCAAAAATCTCATCTATTCTGCATTAAGTTGTCTGGTTAAATGTTGGTAGTTGGGTTTAAGATAGTTAGGTATGATGCGCTACCTGCTCTGGTGCGCCCTTGCTCACTCTGTGCATTTTACCAGCTTTATCTGTGTATGTAAGAGCTGTCCTTTTGTCAGTTGGATTGAATGGGAGGAAGTGAACTTCGTTAATTCCAGCCCGAGCCTTTCAACAAGCAATGGAGTCATTAAACAAAGACTCAATCAAATTTCATAAGACTTGGCATAATCATTAGCTGCAAAAGTTAATTCAGTGGTGATCATTAGCTGGAAAAGCTAATATAATAGTCGCACCTTCATTTGTTTCAAAAAAGGAATATATAGTTTAGTCTAGACAAGAATGTATGATTTTCTTTCTTCTTTCTTTTTTCCCCTATGATATCAAAATTTTGGTGTAAAAACTCCATGTTTTCTGAATGTTGATAACCACGTTGAATGACAAACAGGAAAGAATGTTGGGTAGCCTATCATTTCTGATTTGAGAGAAAACAAAAAACCTATACTATTTGTAAAGACAAACCCCTAAATATTTTAAGGAGTAGATTAAATACCTCCTTAGCGTCTGCCAGCATTGAAACAATTGCAGCATCAATAGCATCTTGATTCTCCATCCTTGATGCTCTTGCAGCCATTAATACAACCATATCCTTTTCAACACCTTTGACAAAAACCTGAATTGACATGGATGTCATCAATATGAATATAAGTTGTAAAACGATTTTCCATACCTTCAATATAATGGAATATAAAAAAAGGGTGTCTATAACAGAATTGCACCTTTAATGATTTTATAATTTATATCCACCCAGGGGCTAGAAGGGAGGAGGCGATGGATGGATGTTGGGGCAAAGTGTGCTATTTCAGTCACAATCACCACAGTTTTATTGATTCAGTACCATATGGATATTATCAACCATATTTGACTTTAAAAACAGGTTTTTTACTGTTTTAAAGAAGCCTACTTCCTGGGCAGTACTATGCCCAAGAGGTCAACTTTAAACCATAAAGCTATACTTGATCCAAAATGATGCATCATAATGCAGATTAAAGGAAATATATAGAGACCGAATATATTACCTCAATCAGGTTTTTGTCCACAGTAAGCTTGTTAAGTGTCAGTGTGCCTGTTTTATCACTACATAGCACATCCATCCCAGCCATTTCCTCGATAGCAGTCATTCTCTTTGTGATGGCACCCTTCACAAAGCATGCATGTCGATCATTCCCATAATCTCACATGATTGGACAGCCTCAGTCCAATAGGAAAGAAAAAAATAGATTTACTTGTTCTTAATTCGTGGAAAATTTTGGAATAAATTTCATTAGCGTGTGTGGCGTGCCGGTGGTTTAACAAACCTGCTGAGATAAGCGATGTGAACCTATAGCCATGGTAACAGAAAGAACTGTTGGCATTGCAATGGGAATCCCACCAATCAGTAGGACAAGAAGGTTATCGATTCCAACACGATAGCTCCTCTGATGAATCCCATATATAGCGATGATTTCAATCACCATTCCAACAGCAATTGAGCAAATGCAGAAGTTCCCAATTGCTGTTAAAACCTGATTTTACCAAGCATACTCATCAAGAAATATGTGAATGGAAATTCTAACATGAGATATCCACCTATAATTACAAACAAGGCTAATAACATTTAAAAAATGATGAAATTCGGCAAATTACATCAAAAAAAAAATTCGAAATTCCATCTGTCTGGTTCTTCATTGTTCAGACAGATAGGCATTAAAAACGAACCTTTTGGAAATGTCCAACATGTGTAGTGTTTTCCACAAGATGAGCTGCTTTGCCAAAGAAAGTATGAACCCCAGTTGCAATAACAACTGCTTCAATTTCACCTTGCTTACATGTTGAACCCGAGTAAACCCCTTCACCAGGATGCTTGGTTACTGGCAAAGATTCTCCAGTAAGAGCAGACTGTACTTGACAACAAAGAATGTTTAACCTGAGAGTGTGAATTTTGGTAGAAATGGCAGACGGTGATATACAATTACTCAGTTTTTATCTAGAAACCCGAATGCTTCATAGCAATTTGCTTTTATGTGAGAGATATGTCTAAAATTNGACAACAAAGAATGTTTAACCTGAGAGTGTGAATTTTGGTAGAAATGGCAGACGGTGGTATACAATTACTCAGTTTTTATCTAGAAACCCGAATGCTTCATAGCAATTTGCTTTTATGTGAGAGATATGTCTAAAATCGTAAAACTAGTTAAATTGGTGGCGTTCTCATGTCAAAATTCATGTCAAAATTAAGGCAGATAAACCTGCAGGTAACTACTGTTGTTTTGTAACAGAGATTCAAATAATCCATATGGGCTAGATATGTCTGAAAACCATTTACATGAATAAACATCACGATGTATCAAGATTGCTTGCAAGTTATGCACTTCTAAGGCTTATATGTCCACAATTATGTTGTGAGCCACTGTCAGCTAGTATTGAATTATAAGTTTCTGCACTGCTGACCAGAATTTAACACTATGTGAATGTGATGAGTCATTGAAATGATTGCTTGGTGGAGAAGTATGAAAAGGATGACATTCTACATACATCAGAAGGGGACCTTTCAAAAAAATTTCCACATGGGGTTGCCAATGAACAAGTCAATCTCTTCACTTGACCTTCATGCTGAGGCTTCTGGGCACCATGACAATATCTTATTTTTCTGAAACTGCCTGAGCTGAGCATGGTGGTCTGGTCTGTACTATTATTTTCATTTTGATTAATTATATGCCAAATCTCTGTTTTGTAGGCTTTATGGTTTGTTAGCTTTAGATGTAAACAATTCCATTATAAAGCCCCGAACTAAGCTAGAGTCCATTCACTGTTTGTGAGCCAGTGAAAAGCTACACAAATAAAGCTTAGGTTAGTTTAACTCATTTGGCTTCAGTTTCATCTAAACAAAGAACGCCAGACAATGCTAGAAAGAACTAGTGAGAAGTCAGACGAAAGCAATCATCTAGTGCCTAGATGATGGTTAACATCTATGATTTTGATAACTCAATCCTTGCTCTAACAACAAGTGTTATAAGGATTCCTGTTGCACACTGAAGAATCATCAACTCCAGCCTCAAAGAGGCGTTCTACTTTGAAGTGAAACACTAAAGACTGGCAAAACCTGATCTACAAACAAAAGTATGAAATCTTTTTGAATCCAATCATATATTCATAAAGTTCATTAGTTAAAAGATATGGCGAACCAGATACCTGATCAATCTTTAGAGGATCTCCTTCTAGTAGACGTGCATCAGCAGGAACAATGTCTCCAAGTTTGATACTGACTAAGTCACCGGGAACCAACTCTGAAGCATCTTCCTCACTCCATCTCCCATCACGTAACACCTACAAGAGCAATCATAAAGTAAAAACATGTGGCAACGNGCATCAGCAGGAACAATGTCTCCAAGTTTGATACTGACTAAGTCACCGGGAACCAACCCTGAAGCATCTTCCTCACTCCATCTCCCATCACGTAACACCTACAAGAGTAATCATAAAGTAAAAACATGTGGCAACAAGATATCAATAATCCCATTCAGGGTGGGAAAATCTAATTTTTAGGACTAGGTAGATCTGCAAAGTTGCTTGTAGGGAATCATTGTGAGAGAGTGAGACCTTGGCTTTTGGAGCCAACCGAGCCATAAGAGCCGCAGCTGCATTACCAGCATTATTTTCCTCAATAAAGCTGATAGTAGAATTGGTAATGAGTAAAACCACGATGCCAACAAAGTCATGATAATCTGGGCCCTTGTGCTGCACAAAATATGGCTATGTTATTATAGAACAAACCCAAAATTTCTTACCTTGAAACGCAATTAGCTTTAAATTTTTTAAGGCATTATTTTTCAATGCTCTTTTAACTATTTTTATAAGCAAAAATATTAACTTAGTTAGATTTCTTATTTCGGAAGGTATTTTTTGTTTGTTTTTGATTATTTTTCTGATTGATATATATGTAATATACGTATGTATCAGCATAAATGTACTACAATACATGCAAACCTGATCAAGAAAAGGCAAAGAAGTATTCGTTTTTTGATTTTTTTAGAAATCTTTAAAAGACTATTTCTCCTAAAAAGGTACTTGAAAAGTTTTACCAAACGATGCCTAGTTTAGAGAAAATTTGATAAATATCTGTCCCTATACCACAGTAAATTAGATCTAACTCAAATACCTCTTGTATGATAGCCTGCTATATTTCAGCAACAAAGTGATAGAGCATAGAGATTTACCCCACCATGTGCAAGAGCAATGGCCATTATAGCTGCTGCTTCCATCACCCATGACAGAGGATTCCACATAAAGCCCAAAAACTTCAGAATTTTACTTTCCTATGCAAGAGAGAACAACAGAAAACAAATCAGAACAAATCAAAGCCTGGAGAACTTCCAGAAAACAGAGAAAAGATAGGAAAGGCAAACAGAAGAATGTTTTTTTTTTGGTGGGGTGCGCCAGGCCAAGGCAGCAGTGCAACGCCAAGGTGACGCTCGAGGAGCCCCAGCAGCAAGCTACTGTAGTGGACCCCTCCCACTCAAAAAATTAATTTAATATCGTGTGACCCATTGGGCCACGTACCAGATATTAAAATCTGTTAACTACACTTTTTCAGAACCTTTTTCTCTTCAAGTTTATTGTATCCAAACAATTCCAACCGTCCTTGAACTTCATCGGAGCTCAAACCATCTCTTGTACATTTAAGATTTTCAAAAACTTCTTCAAGAGGTATGTTCTCCTGCATGAAGAAATTTTAGAATCAGCAATAAATTCTTTTCTCTTTTTAACACAGACAAAATTACAAAAAAGGAAGAGAGGCATAAAACATAAATGCATTAATGACGACATTAGCTTCTCCAAGAATTCTCATGTGTTTTTTTGTCTTCCTCAAACTAAACATGTCAACCTGTTTTGTTAAGATTAGTTGAAGCAAATGTTCCATGATATCTTACATTGGGACAAATATAAATGGAAAAACCGATGATAAGTTTCAGCAAAACAAAAGACTCGTCTTTACAGCACGAGTTATTTCGATATGTTGAGTTTGTGAATATGACTCTGTAGTCAGTTACACTTTTTAATCTTTATTTGCAACTAATTGTGAAAGCAATATGCTGAGAAAACCATTCTAAGTTAAGGAAGCGCAAAGTTTATTTTTGTTTATTAAGAGATGTTGACAAGCACAATAGTTTTAAGCACAATACCAGATCAACTGATTCGTTGATAATAGCATCGAGGGCAATTGACCTCTTTGCCATTTTTGGATATCCTTCGCCTTCAACTCTTCACCAAGCAAGCTTTCTGTAAGGAATTGCAATTACAATGCCCAGAAACTAGGCTCACACATATATTAGTTGATTGTTCTACGACTTTTAAACAAAAAAAAAAAAAAACTACATCTCCTGATATATGGAACTTAAGAGTATACTTAAGTTGATAATATATAATATAAAATTAAGCAGGCTTCAATAAGCCCATTCCACGGTCTCAAATAAACTCATTCAATGGCAACCAACATTCCTTTCAAAACCATTCACATTGTACTGTGCCTTTAGACACAAGTTACCCTAGTAAATTAATAAATAAACACACACACACATTGTTTAGCAATGTTTATAAACTTTGTAAAATTTTATTTAAAGGAAATTCTATAAAAACCAAGATTGGTTTATCATATTTCTATTTCTAAATCACACAAATTGATTGTTTGCCATTTTTCTTTTTAAAAAATCAATATAAGAAATATGCTGTCCTCCACAAAGCTGATAACAAATTCTCACTTTCAAAGTCCCCCCCCTCCCCTCCCCAACAAAAAAACCTAATACAGTTATTATAAATTTGAAACCATAGAACTAATTAATTTCCAATCAAGAGAGCCAAAATCTTATCAGATCCCCAAAATTATAGGAACTGCAATGATGACATAAACTGATTTACTTACAAACCAAAACAGGCAAAATCTTACCAGACCCCAAAAAAATATAAGAATTGCACTAAGGGCATTCTAAACAGATCTTGATCCAAGAAAAGAAAGCAAAGCTCGCAAGTACCCCAACAATGGAACCTCTGGAACTTCGCCAAACCCTTCTATACGGCGAAGAATAAAAAAGAGGGATCGAGAGAGATCTTGATCCAAGAAAAGAAAGTAAAAGATTGCACTAATGACATTCTACAATCACTAATCTAACGAACAGATCTTGGTCCAAGAAACGAAAGTAAACAAAACCCCGACCAACCCTTTACCTGAGAAAGTAAAGAAAAACTCAATTCTTCGACACAAAAACACTTTCAAACTATGTAGCAAAGCTCGCAGGTACTCCAACAATGGAACATCTGAAACTTCGCCAAACCCTTCGATTTGGGGAAGAAAAAGGGGATAGCGAGAGAGAGAGAGACCAATGATGGCGAGGAAGAAGAGAGAGAGAGAGAATAAATAGAGAGAGCAACAGAGGGGGTTTGGCCATGGTGAATGAGGACTGAGGAGGCTCCATATGGAGTTGCCGGCCATTACTGATTCGATACTAACACTGTTTTTTTTTGAATGTTTGTTACTTGCCGCCATTGACGAGACCCTTTGGTTCAAACGAACCCTTCCGGAAAGGATCCAACGAATCCTTGTTTTGCCTAAACGTATCTAATATTTGGACACACGTTTATATAGAGAAAATCCCATTTTACCCTGAAAGATACAAAAAATTTTAATTTATCCAACAAATGATTACTTTTTTTATATTGTCCCCTCAAATAAATAAAAAAGTTGCAATGTGGTTCCAAAATATTTTTATTGCAACATTTTCGGAAACAGATTGCAACTTTTTTAGATCACATTACAACATTTTTATTTTTTTAAAGGGATAATATGAAAAAATTAATCATTCAAGGGACAAACTAAAATTTTTTGTATCTATAAATCAAAATTTCGAAACTGCCCTTCAACTTTGGTGACTACTACGACTGCTTCACATCCCAAAATCTTAGGAAAAATTCTATTTTGTCCCTTAAAAAGGTACAAAAAAATTTAGTTTATCCCCCAAATGATTATTTTTTCTATGTTGTCCCCTCAAAGAAATAAAAAAGTTACAATGTGATTTATCGTCTTATTTCTGTTTAGTCTTTCATCTGTTTTGTGCCAAAATCAACTAATTAGAAATCACAAAACAGACTAACAATCAAACACAAATAAGACGGTAGATCACATTGTAACGTTTTTATGTATGTGAGAAAAAAATGTAAAAAAATTAATCATTCGGAAGATAAATTAAAATTTTTTATATCTTTCAGGGACAAAATAATATTTATCCAAAAAACATAAAGTATTAGATCGATAAGAGAACTATCCAAGATCTTATAACTTGATATGGCACTCCATGTACCATTCTCTCACCGGAAGTGGCAATGACTTTATTGCATTCGGCTATAGCATTAGAGTGGGGCCTCACTAGCCCGACACTATCTCGACCTTAGTATCCCAACAAGGAGTCTACACACGACTAACAGAGTTGTGACTCTGAGTCTTATTTTGATACCATTTATTATAGTCTTACAATTCTAAAACCTAAGTGGAGAATAGTTCGAAATTTTATGACTTTATATAACAATCTATGTGACATTCTTTCTCGCCCTACGATGTGATGCCTTCATTACATTCAACAACACCATTAGAGTGGGAGCCCCACTTGACCCGAGCCTACCTCAACCCTGGTATCCCCAATAAAGAGCCCACATGACTAATGTAGTTGTGATTCACTGAATCTTGCTTTAATATTATTTGTAGCGGTCTCATAACTCGAAAACTTAAGATGTGACACTATGGTGTTGGTTAGAAGGGTAATATAGTCATTTCAAAGGGTAATGAGTTGTTTTTCTTTATTCTAACTATAATCTTTTTAATTTTTCAAGCAAACATGTTGATAACAAAGACTACAATTGTAAATTAATCTTGACCACAATGTAGTTTCTTTCTGTCTTTTTTTAGGACCGAGTCTTGAAAATATACTTGTCTAGGGTCCACATGAAAAATTTGTGACTCGTCAGCTCCGGCAAAATGTGCTTATTACAAAAACTTTGTCATTAACTTTTGGGTTCAGGGGTAGACATATTATAAATAGTTTGGTTCAACACGACTTATATACAATACATAAATGTCAAGAAGAAAACTTGAACATGAACTAAACTATATATAATTATGAACGAGTCAGTATAATTTAAGTGAATTTTAATACGACACAAGTTAGAAACAATATAAACCTAACGACTTGCATAGACAGTCCAATATTTAACTTTATATAGGCCTCACAATAATGAACGTTTTCATGCACCAAGCTACTATGTGTTTACCTAGAAGAAATAGGAAATCCATCCTTTTTTTTTGTTGGTTCAACGAACAGGGGTGTCTGAGTCAATTTATGCGCACTCCAATTAATTTCTTCCCCTGTCCAGTCAAATATAGACTATATACATCGGNAAATATGCTGTCCTCCACAAAGCTGATAACAAATTCTCACTTTCAAAGTCCCCCCCCCTCCCCTCCCCAACAAAAAAACCTAATACAGTTATTATAAATTTGAAACCATAGAACTAATTAATTACCAATCAAGAGAGCCAAAATCTTATCAGATCCCCAAAATTATAGGAACTGCAATGATGACATAAACTGATTTACTTACAAATCAAAACAGGCAAAATCTTACCGGACCCCAAAAAAATATAAGAATTGCACTAAGGGCATTCTAAACAGATCTTGATCCAAGAAAAGAAAGCAAAGCTCGCAAGTACCCCAACAATGGAACCTCTGGAACTTCGCCAAACCCTTCTATACGGCGAAGAAAAAAAAAGAGGGATCGAGAGAGATCTTGATCCAAGAAAAGAAAGTAAAAGATTGCACTAATGACATTCTACAATCACTAATCTAACGAACAGATCTTGGTCCAAGAAACGAAAGTAAACAAAACCCCGACCANCAAAAAAAAAAAAAAACTACATCTCCTGATATATGGAACTTAAGAGTATACTTAAGTTGATAATATATAATATAAAATTAAGTAGGCTTCAATAAGCCCATTCCACGGTCTCAAATAAACTCATTCAATGGCAACCAACATTCCTTTCAAAACCATTCACATTGTACTGTGCCTTTAGACACAAGTTACCCTAGTAAATTAATAAACACACACACACATTGTTTAGCAATGTTTATAAACTTTGTAAAATTTTATTTAAAGGAAATTCTATAAAAACCAAGATTGGTTTATCATATTTCTATTTCTAAATCACACAAATTGATTGTTTGCCATTTTTCTTTTTAAAAAATCAATATAAGAAATATGCTGTCCTCCACAAAGCTGATAACAAATTCTCACTTTCAAAGTCCCCCCCCTCCCCTCCCCAACAAAAAAACCTAATACAGTTATTATAAATTTGAAACCATAGAACTAATTAATTTCCAATCAAGAGAGCCAAAATCTTATCAGATCCCCAAAATTATAGGAACTGCAATGATGACATAAACTGATTTACTTACAAACCAAAACAGGCAAAATCTTACCAGACCCCAAAAAAATATAAGAATTGCACTAAGGGCATTCTAAACAGATCTTGATCCAAGAAAAGAAAGCAAAGCTCGCAAGTACCCCAACAATGGAACCTCTGGAACTTCGCCAAACCCTTCTATACGGCGAAGAATAAAAAAGAGGGATCGAGAGAGATCTTGATCCAAGAAAAGAAAGTAAAAGATTGCACTAATGACATTCTACAATCACTAATCTAACGAACAGATCTTGGTCCAAGAAACGAAAGTAAACAAAACCCCGACCAACCCTTTACCTGAGAAAGTAAAGAAAAACTCAATTCTTCGACACAAAAACACTTTCAAACTATGTAGCAAAGCTCGCAGGTACTCCAACAATGGAACATCTGAAACTTCGCCAAACCCTTCGATTTGGGGAAGAAAAAGGGGATAGCGAGAGAGAGAGAGACCAATGATGGCGAGGAAGAAGAGAGAGAGAGAGAATAAATAGAGAGAGCAACAGAGGGGGTTTGGCCATGGTGAATGAGGACTGAGGAGGCTCCATATGGAGTTGCCGGCCATTACTGATTCGATACTAACACTGTTTTTTTTTGAATGTTTGTTACTTGCCGCCATTGACGAGACCCTTTGGTTCAAACGAACCCTTCCGGAAAGGGTCCAACGAATCCTTGTTTTGCCTAAACGTATCTAATATTTGGACACACGTTTATATAGAGAAAATCCCATTTTACC